ATCCTCCTGCCCATGCCTCCAAAGTGCTAGGATTACAGGCACGACCTACCATGTCTGCCAGTGTAGTTCTTTTATATAGAAAAATTAAGTCTTCTGAGTTGCAAGTGTTACTTAAGTATACACAAACAAAGAATTAACTCCTCATAGCTCTTATATACCTATAAAAACAAACCAGTGTTAAATTACATAAAAATAAAACTATAAAATTAATACAGTTTAACAGTTTTCATCAAATTGTATCTGCCATAAATAAATTGCTTATGTTGCTGTCAATTTGGACCATTATTTTAGCCTTCATCGTTATTATGCTTTCTTTTTAATAGTGAACTCATTTTTAAACCACTATCCATTATTTTGATGGGCAATCCATTTGCTAGAGTAGCTCAGAAGTAAATCTGGAAAACAGTGGGAAAACAACAATTCAATGAAAAATTTACTATGTACTTACTATAATAGTTTCATTAATGAACTGTTGCAAACAGTTGCTTATAAAGGCAAAATCCCCATAGCATATCTGCTCACTGGTAGATACCGATTGCTGAGATGCAGGTTTTAGTAATTCAGTTAATCTCATGCTCAAATCTGTTGGAACTTGCTTGAATTGCTAACATCATAGTATCACTTCATTTATTATTCAGTCTGTCTTTGCTTTCTGTTGACCCATTTCCGTGAAACTAGACCGCATTCTAAAGTATTACATTGTTTTTGTGATGTTAAATCAGATTTTTAATTTATTAAATAATCACCTAAAATCTTATTCCATGAAAATGGCTTTACTTGAAAATTATACTGAAAAAGAGAATTTATGTCTTTGTTATTGTAAAGAATTAGAATATGAGCACAACAGTGGGATAATGGTTGTTAATTTAACATCAGCATTTTCCTGCCTGAGAGCTGTTAGCCATGCTTACTTACACCTGAAAAGATAAAAAGTACTGTCTCCTCAAGTTATTACTTGGTAATATTTTAAGTATAAACATAAAAACTAGCTGGAATGCTGGAAATTCTGCCATGCCAAATTATGAAGTAGTCATCCAAGAATTCAGAATATTCTTGGGTTTATTCTTTACTGACATAAAAATTTTTAGTGGTCACAGAATTCAGATAACCCAAAGAGTATACCAAAGGATAACACTCCCCCAGTTTGACAAATACTGGTCCAAACATTAACTCACACTGCACTGTATTCACATTGAACTTCAATGCTTTACTCACAAAGAGTTGACCTGCTCCTTAAGAAATAGTCATGTTAAAAAAAAAAAAAAGTAGTGTTGCCTAATTGATGCATTTTCTTCCTAGATGGGAAACTGAAGAGAAGAATGTCGCTTCATGAGCACAGAACCTTTGTACACAGCAGGCACTCATTGAATGTTAAGCAGTTGTTGGGTGAAGCATTGACTGCCCACTTCACCTTCTATATTGTTAAAAGAAAAACATTGTTAAAGCAACCTTGATAAGTGTCTCATGCAATCACTGATAATCTTCCTTTCTCTCCATTTCATATTGACCCCAAGCCAACCCTCAAACTTCTGTTTTCTACCTACTTACATCACCTTCAAAGCCAGTTTCACAGAGTATGTTTTAAAGAAATCTCAACTCTTATCCTATGGAAAAGAAACTGATAGCAAATAACACAAATTCATAGTGTGCAGATTCCCAAAGGGGGTCATCTTTCTGTAGACATTAGCAGATATATACCATTATATCTCTATTTTTTTTGTTTTAAAAATTAAGTTTAATAAAGATAACTTTTTTTTTTTACATGTCACCCTTTGGTACAGTTTTCTAGTATTTAATACATTCCATAGTGTATAAATATGGCTCCTTTTAAGTGAGCACCAAAAGTCAAGAATCTGCCGTTATGTGTTCACAGTACCTTGAATACAGAAGGGGAGCAGTAATATATTTTGATTAAATGATTGGATAAATAACATAAATAGGTATTCCTTAAATCTATTCCATTAATGTTTAAAACTCCTACCTTAATTTTTACTCATCCAACTAATAAAATTCAGCATTGCTGCACCCTCCCAGAAGAGACATTTGTTAATGCAGAAAAAAACATATTTGACTGTTAGGAAGGAGGCGTCTACTGTCAGTAAATGTGCTATCTTACCTCTTCGGTTGTCCTCTTCTGCTGTCCATCATGCAGCCTTGCTGGCAAGCTTTCTTATTGCCTCTTCAGCCCTATTTCCTTTTAAATTTTCAGAAAGCTTCAAAAGAACTGTTTAAACCTTTCAGAATGCTCCTAAAGACTCTTATCCCCGGCTCGGCGCCTGTGGCTCAACCAGCTAAAGGCGCCAGCCACGTACACCTAAGGTGGCGGGTTCGAATCCCCAGCCCAGACCTGCCAAAACAACAATGACGGCTGCAACCAAAAAATAGCCGGGCGTTGTGGCGGGCGCCTGTGGTCCCAGCTACTTGGGAGGCGGAGGCAGGAGACTCGCTTGAGCCCAGGAGTTGGAGGTTGCTATGAGCTGTAATGCCACGGCACTCTACCCAGGGAGATAGCTTGAGGCTCTGTCTCCAAAAAAAAAAAAAAAAAGACTCTTATCCCCATCACATACTTGTTGTTGACACGTATAAATCTTTATAAATGTATGTAAAAGAAAATTGAATAGAAAGCCTATTTTTATTTAGACTGTTAAAATATGAAATTTTATGAGATTTTGCATTGTGTTTTTTCTACAGGCAGAAATACTCAGTGTCCTCAGTCACAGAAACATCATCCAGTTTTATGGAGTCATTCTGGAGCCTCCCAACTATGGCATTGTCACAGGTAGGAACTCGTTATTTGACTTCTCTCTTTCCCCGATTACCTCGGGTTGGATTCCTTAATATGCTGAAATGCTTAATATTAGATTCAGCCATGAATTGTATGCTACTGTCAGATGTCACTTTTGTTGCTATAAAGCATTAATAAAACTGATTATATCAATATAATTAAGAATGGTGTTTCCACTTCTACCCATGTTTAATTGTGCTAATTATATCCGTGTAAATGCTATTTAAATGCACTCAACAGCTGCAATACCAATATTTAAAGGTGCCATTTAACTAAAATTTCATTTAATTAGTTGAAATGAGAGATTTTTTTTGTAACTCTGTGACCTTTTATAAATTAAGATTTCTTGAGCTATCCGTGTTGTAATTCTTCGCAAGTCATTTTCATCCCCTTAGAGTGTTCTTTCTTCAAGGTCTCTGACGCGAGAACCATATTTTTCACATTTGGTCAGCTAAGTTGGTAATGACCTTGATGTAAATTATCACATAATTTGGAGCAACAGTCTATAACCGTGGAAATACCCTTCCCAAAAATGAGCACATAGAACATTTTGCCACTTGAAAACACAGAAAGACGTAATCTTATTACTTGAGGCTCAGATTTGTATAATCCAATGAGCAGCTTTGGCTCTATAGTAACTATAAGGTTCAATATACAATCAATAACTGATTAGTTTGTTTATCTTGGCAATACTTGGATCAAAAGAAAAACAAACAAGAAAACCTTAAAAGATTAGCCCTATCTTCTTCCACCGTGGTGATAAGAACCTGGATTGTCTTTATGGAAAAATAACAACAAAACACCCTCAGTAAAAAAAGGTATTTGCTTACAGATTATCTCATCTAATACTTACAATAACCCTTAAAAAAAAGAACCTTTGGTAAAATAATTTCTATTTTACTGATAAGAAACTAAAACTCTAACTTGTCACTTTCCCGTGGCCACCTCGCTAGAGTGGTATCAACTTTTCAGAGTGCTTTTCCGCAGAAGCTATGCTTCTTGCATGCATGCTAGGTTCTAGAGGCTGTGGACTCACTGGTTCTTACGTTCAAAGGAACACTATTACTGTCTTTTGCACATTCTGGTGCCAAGGTAGTTTAACACCCTTTTACTCTAAGTAGCAATTCTATCTCAGTTCTTAAGCGGAGGGACTTTTATCCCCAGGTCGCTATCTAAGATCTGTGCCTGACACGGGGCATATAGCAATTTTTATCTTGAGCCCGTATGTCTTGTGAATGTGAATACCCAAGAGTGGGTTGTATTGTTAAGGGGTAAACCACGCCTAACTTTTTAGGTCAGATTTCAGATTTAAAGTTTTAACCTTTCTTTAATCCATTTACCATATGGCTTCTTTTTTTTTTTTTTCTGAGTTTACTGTATTTACTTTTTACTAGTTATTCAGATTTACCTTATAAATCTGAATCTAATTTTTCAGATTTGCATTTGTAGCTTAATATTATTCTTACCTAGCAGATGAAAGTGTGCGTGATACTCCAAAGAGATTAGAAACGCCGCTTCTGTTTTATACCCTTGATATCTAATGCTTTGGGGAAGATTTTACCTTAACTAACTCGGTGGGCTATTTGTGAAGTTTTCTAGCTTCTTGAGGTGAAGGTGAAGGGTAGAATAAGAGACTTGAGGTATGGTGTGAATTCCTTTTTCCAAGAGCTTACTTTCAGTGCCAGGGAGGATGAGAAACACATTCATTCTTAGCTATCATATTCAACCTGGGTCATATCATATAGAAGAGGATGTAGTTGGATGAGTCCGTCTGAATTGATTTAGTTTCTGTGTCAGACTAGGCAGTCGTTTATTTCAGGCATCCCTTCAGCATTCCCTAATCTCGTCTTCATCTTCCCAAATTCTTTACAGTTACATTGATTAGTTCTTTATGGATCTATATCTGTTTCCCCACAGAGCTAGTATGTAACAAACTATTAACATTAAATAGTTCTTTAAAAGGACAGAAGCTTCAGAAATGTGAGACAGTAGTAAATTGTATATTTATACCCCATGAGGTTGATTGTTATAGAGACCTATTAGCCAAGTTTTAGTGGTTTAAAATTTGATACAGTTATTTTAGACTTAAAGATGTTAGTTTTAATTCAGTGTTTGTTCACGTGAACCTTTTCAACCAACCCTCTGCAACGTTGAGATCAAGCCTCGCTCTGCACATGGGTAGCAGGACATCGGCCACCTGAGCCAAATTTGGGAATTAAACAATCATGTGAGTTAGAGACAATAACACGTAACCTGCTACTTGAAGTGCACGCAAATAAGTCTTGTGTGAGAAGGTAAGAGAAAAGGAAAGCTAGGCAAGCAAATAGCCCTCGGTCACCTGGCCTTGTTAGGTCCCCTCTATGAGTTTGCTCATTTTTCCTAGATGTTGGAGTCTCTGAGGAGGAAACTTGAATGTCTTGAATCTGTCCAACTCGAATTTTTTGTTGCTGTTGTTAATAGAAAAGGTTGTTGAAACAGGCACTGTTGTCACTTATACCAAAGGCTTGAAAGAATCATTTATCAGAGTGATGGAATGGAATGAGCACTGGAATGGGAATTGGGAGATGTGAGGTCATGTCTTTATTCTGCCAAGGCTTCATAGATGGGTCACCGATGATCTCTTTATGTCTCAGTTTTCTCATTTTGAATGAAGGCACTAAAACAGGTGATCTCTGACTAGGAGTGTCTATGTGTTCACTTGTGTATGTGTGTTTGGTGAAACTTTCCATCACAGAGTTAAACCTGCCTATGAGGGTTCCTAGGCAAGAGTCTTAAGAGGTTATCACCAATTTATTTCCCTTGGAAGGCAAATGAACATCTTTGTCCCAGAACTGTGAAGAAAATGAGGTGACTAACCTGCAAACTCCAAAGTCAAAATAAAAGCTACACTAATGTATCATCTTTTTTTTGATCTTTGGAAACCTCTTCATTCTGTACTACTCCCATTCTTTTAATTTTAAAAATATGTATATTAATAGCAATACTGAGGTCAGGGAACCCCTAAAAGGCAACGGAAGGCCTTGATAAACTCTCGGTGAAGTAGCTGTTTTGCAGCAAGCTGATCAAAGAGGAACCCCCACCCAAAGTATCTGGTAATCTAAGAGTTAAGAAAGAGTGGCAGACTGGCTCTCGGGGTTCCAGAGGAAAGTGATTTAGGATCCTAGGTCCCTAAGGAATTGCATCTTTGTACTCAGGGGTTCTTAAAATTATTGCTCTGCACTCAAGGGCTCTTAAGGTTCTTACCTGTTCTACATTATCTTTTACCAATACTCCAAGAGAGGACACCAGTTCTGCATGATTTGTCAGCAGTGCCAAATTCTCATTAAACTCAACCATGGACATCATAATTTTTAAGTGCCCAGTCTCATTTTCTTTAACTTGGTTTTGATTTATTTTAAGCACAGACACATCCAATTTGCATGTTTTGATGATATGCCGGTCATTTCTTATTAGCCAATTAGAGACAAGTGTCACATCTTGTTATAACAAATTTTAGACATTTGCCCAAATTTATTTGTTCTATTAGTTATAATCTAAACTAAGCTTGGTCTTGGTGACATTTTATTATAAAGAGATTTCGGTGTAATGGTATTTGTTTCAACAATACTGATTATATGTTTACATTTTTCAAAGCCAGCTATTGTCACCATAAAACTCAAAAGGGAAGAATTATCTTAGAAATCAAAAGGAAATGTTTGCTTAATGTTAGGTTTTTAATGACTTTTTTTTGAGAAAGAGTCTCACTACATTGCCCTCAATAAAGTGCTATGGTCTCACAGCTCACAGCAACCTCAAACTCCTGGGCTTAAGTGATGCTCTTGCCTCAGCCTCCCAAGTAGCTGGGACTACAGGCGCCTGCCATAACAGCTGGCAATTTTTTCTTGTTGTTGTTGTCATTGTAGTTTAGCAGGCCTGGGCTGGGTTGGAACCCTCCAACACCAATGAATGTGGCTTGTGCCCTAACTACTGTCCTACAGGCACCAAGCCTTTAATGACTTTTTAAAAATAAGAATTAAAATAACTACGTTCATACTAACGTCCAGTAAACTCTCTAGGGAGAAGTTAAATAGTTTGAAAACCATGTAACTGTATGTGTGTATGCTGATTCTTCAAGTTCCAAGGAGAAGATCAAAAGGATAAAAGAATTAAATGCCTATCTAAAATGGTTACTGTGGGCTGCGCCTGTAGCTCAGTGGGTAGAGTGCCAGCCACATACACCATGGCTGGCAGGTTCAAACCCAGCCTGGGCCTTCTAAAACAATGACAACTGCAACAAAAAGAAAGTAGCTGGGCATTGTGGTGGGCACCTGTAGTCCCAGCTACTTGGGAGGCTGAAGCAAGAGAATCACTTAAGCCCAAGAGCTGGAGGTTGCTATGAGCTGTGACTCCACGGCACTCTACCCAGGGTGACAGCTTGAGACTCTGTCCCCCCGCCCACAAAAAATAAAATGGTCACTATGTTAGTTTAGCTACCCATACATTTATGGATCATTTTTTATATAAAGTAAATGTAATGGTATTGCTTTTCTTGGAACTTCACATTCATGAAACCATTTTATCATATATTTTCTACATCCATGTCTTTATTAAATCATTATAATGACTTTATAAGTTATCCTAATGTATTTTAAAGTATATTGTCTTCAATATAGTTGATGTTTAAAATATAGTAGTTTTGCATGTATATAAGACACTGTG